TAATAATAGTAAACATCGAACAATAAAAATGAAACCAATAGATGTAAATGCTGAAAATGAAAATAATTTGTTGTTTGATGTATTTAAAAAAGTTGCAGTAAACAGGAAATATAATAAGAAATTTAAAGTTGGAGATAGAGTACGTATAAGTAAAGTTAAGCATGTTTTTGAAAAAGGTTATACGCCAAACTGGACTACGGAAATATTTACTATAAGCGATGTAAAAAATACTAATCCAATAACATATATCTTGAAGGATTATCAGGAAAATCTAATAAGTGGATGTTTTTACGAGCAAGAACTTTCTAAAGTTAAATATCCAGATGTATATTTAGTTGAAAAAGTATTAAAAAAACGAGGATCTAATGTATTTGTAAAATGGTTAGGTTTTGATAACTCTCATAACAGTTGGATAAACGAATCTGAATTATAATATATTTAAGGAAGGTTAAAATAAAAATAAATTGAATTGTATGCATTCTTGTATTTATTTATCCTCTCTTTACAATAATTTACCATTTATACATTGAATATTTGACATTTGTTGAATAGCTTCATTTGATATTTGTTTACAGTGAAATGTGACAAGTTCCAGCAATAATGTCTCTAAATTTAAAACATTAGTTCTTCCCATCATTTTTTGAAGTATTCTACTGTAATGTTTTTTAATAAACTCTGTGGCATGTTTTGTAGACTTTACATTATTTTTAAAGATTAATTCTGCAATAAACTTTACAATTATATCTTTACTATACTGCAAATTGAATTTTGATAGTTCTACATATTTTTGTTCAACACAAGGAATAAGTTCATTAAATATTGCAAATGAAGTTTCACTAAATGTAAATGATTGATCTAAACGCTCAATTGATATTAAACGATATGTAACACTAAAACGTATTGTAAACGTTTCACAATCCAGCACTGTTGCATCACAATATCCGTTGAAAAATCGTATGATATGTTTTACTGCATCACACAATAGACGCCATTCTTGAAGCTTCAAAGACAAACCTTCACCAGAATGTACTGCTATATAGTTTAGATATTTTAAACTCTTTTTATCTCTAACAGCGCCATCTGCTTTGTAATATTTTTTATGAGCATTAGTTGATATTACAATATTTTTATAATTTTCTCGATCAACTACACTTAAAACAGCTTCTTCTGGAACTTTTTTGAATAAAAGCTCAAGTAAAAAACCGGAAGCAATAAATCAAAGACATTATAAACAACAAGTAAATGGTAAAAATTCCTTAGATAAGAATATATCAAATTACACAAGCAAAAATTCTAGGAAGTGTGACGTCATATCCATCTCAGCATCATGGTCTGAATCACACCCTCCCCCGTGATGTCATATCCGCCTCTGAATCGCACCCTCCCCCAAATGGTTTGAGTCTGGGCTAAAAGTGTCGGTGCAGGAATGTGTATGACGTCATTTCCGCCTAATCATCAAGATCTTACCCCCACCCAAGGGTTTGAGTCTTGGATAAATGGTTTGAGTCTGGGCTAAAAGTGTCGGTAACATGTCGGTGCAGGGATCTGTATATAGAACCGGCACTGCTTATCTACTGTCTGTCGTTTCGTTTTCAAACTTCTGCTATACAAAATGCGAGTTTTACGATATACAAAAGCTAGTTTTACTACATACGAAAGTATTCTAATTACAGTCTTAATATATTTTTAATTTCATTTACTTTGAATTGAATTTTAAAGCAGATGTAAAATATACTATGACTTTTAAATCTCTCCTAGTCTTTGTTTTAGAAATTGTTTTTTATCTAATTAATTTTTTCTAAGGTACATCTAATTATTTTAATTTTATTCTTAGGCATATCCTCCTGATTAAGCACCACATGAATTATAGGACTTTTTGGGTCCTGAGATCCAAAAAACAAAAAGTCGACTAAAGGGGAAAACAAGAACCTTTAATTATATTAAAACCATTATTCTACTATATTTCCTTAATCCAAGTTGGCTAAACAATTGAAGAATGTTTCTGAAAGGATAAAAAGAACCATTTTTTGCGATAAAATAAAATTAATTCCTAATTTAAACTAAAACTGATTTTTCAATCAATCTAACATGAAAATTAAATTTTTATTGCTGTGAAAATATAAATTTTATCTCTCGTATGTTTCTCTTCCCCATTCCTTATTTTCTCTGTGCTCTTACAAAAGTAACGATTAGTGTAAAACCGAAAAGTCCACTATATTTTATCGTATTTTCTTTTCTCCTTGTAAAGCACTTTAAAAGAGGAAAAGAAGCTTGTAACATTCAATAAATAGAAGAGCTAAAATGTTTAAATATTTTTTGAAACAATAAAGTCAAAAGTAATTGTTTTACGTAAATTGAAAAAAAATCCATAAATATAGCAATCTTTTGATAAAGTTAATAAATTTGTTTCTTATAGACATAAAGGGAAAATCGAAATTAAATCATGCACAAAAGGCAAAGAACATTTTTATACATTATAAGATAAATTCGCTAATTTTCTTTCATTTTTTCTGATTTCCATATAAATTAAATATCACAGGATTATCATTCTGGATATTGGCATTGCAATTCAGAACGAGAGATTTAAAAATTGCAAATTAGATACTCGAAAAGGGACAAGTCGATAAATTGAATTATACCATTTGAAAAAAACTTTTAAAAGTAAAATTCATTTTTTATCATCTGCTGAGAGTTTTCTAGTAAATTATTCGTAAGGGAAATAGTTGCTTTAGTAAGAAAGTTGAAAATATAAATTTTCTTAGAAATTTTTTTTTTAATTTCATATAGCTTATCAGAAAGGGTAAAGCAGAAAAGTTTTGTTATTCAACCACAAAAAAAAATCTCGTTAATCTTTATCGCAAAACAGTGCACATTCATTTATCACCATTGAAAAATAAATTGCATGTAACAAAAGATAATTGAGCATTTTTCTCTCTCTCTCTCATTCCTCTTTCTCTTTATATCTTGTTCAACGAATTTATTTTTATTGCTTGATATTAAAATGCACAAACTTGCCTTCGGACGATACAATTTTATTTCGTGCACCGTCAGCAGCTTGAAAATGTTCGGTGAAAATAAATCATTTGTCTGCAATATTGTTTAAAAAGGTGCTCTCATGCGTATATTTTCTACAATTTGAGAAATTTTTTTTTTATCTATTTATAAATCACGGAATTCCAATCAACCTAACGAATATATGTGAATTTTCCCCAAAAAAAGAGATAAAATATATAGTTGAAGCGAAACTTTAAAAAGCGTTGTAAATTATCTGACGTAAACAATACTTAGATTGCTTCTGACATGGGATGATTTTGTTTGTTGTCTACCGATAGTTTTTTTGTATGCAAGATATCAAGTTCCGGTTGGTACCAAAATGAAGCTTGACTCTTTCCCTAACTTTTATCTCATTACGAGTATAGGCTAGGATAAATATTTAAGAACGCATTTTATGACTTTAGGAATTTGATAATCTTAACATGTAAACTTTGTTTGAATTCAAATGGCCATAAGTTTTTTTGTATGCAAGATATTAAGTTCCGGTTGGTACCAAAATGAAGCTTGACTCTTTCCCTAACTTTTATCCCATTACGAGTATAGGATAGGATAAATATTTCAGAAAGTTTTTTATGACTTTAGGAATTTGATAATTTTAACATGTAAACTTTGTTTGAATTCAAATGGCCATAAGTTTTTTTGTATGCAAGATATTAAGTTCCGGTTGGTACCAAAATGAAGCTTGACTCTTTCCCTAACTTTTATCCCATTACGAGTATAGGATAGGATAAATATTTCAGAAAGTTTTTTATGACTTTAGGAATTTGATAATTTTAACATGTTAACTTTGTTTGAATTCAAATGGCCATAAGTTTTTTTGTATGCAAGATATTAAGTTCCGGTTGGTACCAAAATGAAGCTTGACTCTTTCCCTAACTTTTATCCCATTACGAGTATAGGATAGGATAAATATTTCAGAAAGTTTTTTATGACTTTAGGAATTTGATAATTTTAACATGTTAACTTTGTTTGAATTCAAATGGCCATAAGTTTTTTTGTATGCAAGATATTAAGTTCCGGTTGGTATCAAAATGAAGCTTGACTCTTGCCCTAACTTTTATCTCATTACGAGTATAGGCTAAAATAAATATTTAAGAACGTTTTTCTTGTTCGATGTCATCTTTGAGCACTAAAAAACACTCACTCGCGGTTATTCAAATTTATCCAAAAAATGCAATTTCGTTAAACTTTTCAAAAAATTTTATCCAAAAATGTCTATAAATATTCAAACGGATACAAAGGACTCCAACAGCGAGGTGTTACACGACCCGAGATAAATTCGCAACTGAAGAAATATCTGTCCCTTCGTTGACTATTAACGTTAATTGATTTTTAATGAGTTTTTAATTTCTTAGAAACTCTAAAAAATTATTTATCAAAGATTAAAAAACTGTCGTGATAATATCAAAAATCTTAAAATACTGCTAAGCTTACTGAATACCCAATTCTCCGTAAAATATAAATGTATAGATATTTTATTTAAAACCAAAATCTATCTCAGTTCCTTCTGTCGAGAAAATATTCATTGACTGAAAGTAACGAAACAATGTTTTCTGCTCTTTTAAAGCAGTTTAAATTTTTTATTTCATAATTGGTCTGGTTTTAATGCTCTCTGCTTTGGGTACTTTTTAAAAATTTACTCTCTACAATCATTCTCCTGCAGTATTCAACGATTCAAGTTCTTTTTTTTAAGGTAATATGAGGCAAATGAAATTATAACTGCTTACGGTAATTTATTAATTTACTGAATACGTAAAACTTTATTCAAGTATTAAAAATTGATGGCAGAATCTTAATTATGGGCATTACGTAAAAATTATTCAAATATTGAATGACAAAATTTCAGAGTGTTTAAATAAATAGTAAATATTTACTTAAATACTGTAAAAATTTGCATTTTCATTAATTGCATATTTAAAGGATTGTATTTTATTTTCATGTTTCAGTGTGATCCGGGAGTTGCGGTTGATCGTTTTTTTCATGCGATTTATTCGTCGAACAAAAATAGTTTAATGCCCCTTCTTCTTGGAACGGCGTGTTCGGAGGTCTCGGAGACCCTTGCAAAAATTGTTCCCTACTGGAATGTCGTTCAAGTTTCATTTGGGTCAACGACACCTGCTCTTTCAGATCCAACAGAATTTCCACTTTTCATACGAACCGTTGCTCCCGACTCGAGTCATAATTCTGCAAGGATAGCGCTCATCAAACATTTTGGCTGGGACACTGTTTCCGCTTTCTCGCAAAATGGAGACATGTACGCTTTGGTATGTAAAAAAAAATTAAATAATTACAATTTTTAGTATTTAGAGAACGGTGAAGGGATATGAAAAATTTTATTTAATTAATTTTACAAACAAGAAATTCCTATAAATTATTAATATTTAAATGGAAGTAAAAATTTTACAAATGCGGAAGAATTATTAATTTTCGTGTAAATAAAATAACTTTTTGAATATTTGTCACATTTGGGGCGAAATTTTTTCTTGTGCCACGCCTGACTTAACCGGCCAATCAGCGCGCGAGCGATCCCCACTACCGGACGTCACTCGGTTCCCGGTATCCCCTTCCTGACGGACTATAAATACTGACGCGTCGCTCGAAAACTCTCAGTAGTCGACACAGTCTTACCTGAAACGGTACTCCAACAAACCGTGGGTTTAATTCCTAAAGGTTATTGTCACCGACGAGGGAATACGCGATATTATCGCAAGAGGTAATTTTGCAACAAATCGTTTGTGCAAAACGAGGTAATACCGCCAACATTAAAAATAATTTCGTTTTCGGTTCATAGAGGACGTTAATTTAAAAAATAAAAAATGTAATCTTTGGTATATCGTTGGTAATAACTTTTATATTGTATCTTTAAATTTGAAATTTTTTACTTTCTTAGGTCTTCTCATTTCATAAATTAGATTTCTACCGTTAAAAACCAAAAAGAGAACGTGGAGAAGCACAAGAAGTTAAAAGATGATAAAACAATTATAATGACTTCTCTTGAATCAAACGAAACACAATAAAATACCTTCATTAGTTTTCAATTGTCTTTCCATCCGTCTTGGAATTGTTTCATTATATACTTCGTTTAAATTCTACGGGATAAAGATCAAATATAATTATCCTGATTTTAATTTGAAACTAATAGTACTTCACAATTAGGTAGAAAAAAAATTATTTTCACCGTAAGAATATTATTTATTAATCACATATTGACATACCCTAATGAATATGTATCTGAACTTTTTTAAAATTCTGCTGCAAGCAAATTGATATTTAATTTCAATTAATTAATTACACATCGAAATGCATGGTGACAATGTGAATTTATTTAAATTTTCCTTTATTAAAATGAAAATAATTGAGTGATGAAATAATGTATTTTTTGATCTACATTTACAGTAATTATTAATGTGAATGTAAATCATTTTATAAATTTGAAATAAAAGATAGTAATTATAAATAGAAGGGAGTAAATAAAATAATATAAATGATTGAAAAAACAAATCTCCAATTTCGAGAAGGTTAGGAATGCACATTTGCCATTTGATAGGAACTGCTTACTAACCTAACCAGGGAAAATGCTTTGCATTCTCTCTTTGTAGAATTCAGCATGTCCTCCTTTACAAGTGCGGAAAAGGTCACTGAGGTTGGCTCTGAATAAAGCCACCAGTTGGATTCTATTCGAATGGGAATTATGCTTTTTCGAAACTTGTGTGCACATCTCTACCTCACACCCTCTTTTATTCTGATCTCGTTTTGTTACAGGCTGTGAACGATCTGGTCACAGAATTGGAACAGGCAAACATCACGTGCACTGCTACTATCACGTTTGCTGAAAATGATTATAAGGAACAGCTGCGGACCCTCAAGGTATGATACGTAAGATAAAAAATATTTCTATATCATATAAATTTAATGTATCGTAAATTTCTTTTATTTTTTAATAGTACAACCCCTAATTATAACTAACAATAATAAAAGATACAAATCATTCGTTTGTGATGAAAACTGAATATTCAAAAATCTTCCAAGAAAGTGTGTAAAGATTTCTTAAATTAAAATCTTGATAATTAGTTTATCTTTTGCTTGCCAACGTTGCGAGAAATAGTTCTTGAAAGATAATTAACCAGGCAGAATCCTTGGCACCGAAATACCGTGATGAATTTCTATTGTCATCAGAGGAGCAATTTTCTGATGTTCATTCAACAAGCAGATGTTGTATTTTAACTAATAATTTCAACAAGTTTTCGTCTGAAAAAAAAATTAAATTAACTAGAATAATTAGTGCAGACAATCACAAGTTAACAATTTCTTTCAATCACTAAAAATTTTCTTAGAATCATAAAATACTTTCTTTTTCTTTTTATTATACGATTTGTAAGAAAAGTTTCTCATTTACTTGCAGGACTTGGATACGAGAATAATCATTGGAAGTTTTTCACCTAGGTTAGCGCCGCACGTTTTTTGCGAGGTGAGTTGAATTCATAATACTCTGTAATTAGTTTTCAAAGTTTCGAGTTAATAAATTAACCGATAAAACATTGCAAGAACCAGTGATTTCAAAATCAAAATAAAATGTGTACGTTAAATGATTTAAATAGAGGGGAAAAAATTTAAATTCTATTTAGAGAGATATTGCTGCAATATTCAAATTGTATCAAAACCATTATTCTACTATAAATTTTTAAAACCTGTATTGTTCTCTTTGAATTATTAATGATAAATAAGTGAAAAACAAAGAATAGCAGCAATTATTAATTAATTAATTATAAATACAAAACTTTGATGCTAAATTAAATTTACAAACACTGAAGTTCGCGTTTCATCCATAAAATATATTTTAATTCCAATGGAATAGAATTTAAATGAAATAATAATAGTAGCTTTTCAAAATATATTCACTGGTTAAATAAAAAAATATTCGGAATAAAACTATATATGAATAAATATTTTTTCTCTGGTTCAACACATGAAAAGCAAATTCTTTGTTGCAGTTTAATTTTGAAGCTGAATTGGTGATGTAAAAACAGTCAGTTACAAACTTGTCAAGCACTCTTTGAATGAAATAAAATTTATTATATTTATGAACTTGTTTTTACTATCAGGAACATTTTATCTGCTGCAATATTTGCAATGTTTATAAAAAAAAAACTTGTGCTTCGAGATAAAAATGAAAAAATTATATTCTTAATTAAATACATTTTTTTAAATTTTCATATCGGGACGAAAAAATCGCGAATCCCTGAAAATAAAATATTTAAATTAAACTTCCCTTAAAATGAAAGAGTGCACTGAATGTCAGTTTAAAATACAACCGGAGTGAATTTATTTTAATATATAATTTATATTAACGTCTATTATAATTTATTAGATAATGAGGGCACGTAGGAGATTTTGATTTTATGGTTTTAATATTATTACCACTAGTCCTGTGCTCTATGCGTTATTACCTGTCCAATGCAGGTAGTAAATTTAAGTGGACCAATGAATACCAGAGACAGGCAGTTGATTATCTCATAAATAGCAGCTTCTCCAAATACAAAATAGAGTTAATATTATTCTAATATAATATATTCCGATATATAATTTGTTCATATATGTGACCGCGTCAGAGAAAATGGACCTTATGACCAAAAATTTTTTTTTGCATTTTGTTTTAAGGACCTTACAATGTTAAAAAACATCTAAATCTGAAAATCGATTTTATTTGACATAAGGTCCCTTTTCACAGAAGCGGTCACATATACCTGCGAAAGTTTTTTAAAAATTCACCAGTTTAATAGATGACTTTTAAAAATACCTAATAGAATAATCATCACTGTAAGAATAAACATTATTTGATAACTGAGGTCAGAGTATACAAAGAAGTGAAAATATTTCAATGCTTTAGTTACTATCTAAAAAAGGTTGATTTTAACTAGGTCAAATATAATTAAATCTCTTGTTTCATCTATCGCGGTTTACTGACTTCTTTCACTTCTCTCTTGTTGTTATTTTTGCTTTTGCTGTTGTTTTTTCTGATTTTGCTTCCTCATGAGGAAGCTTTGCATTGGTGACGATTTTCAATTTTTCAAAAGAAGGCTATATGGACTCATTTTCATCTAGAACATATGTATATTCAATTATGAGCAAATGTCCAGATGTATGTTGTTGTATTTTTTGAAATCATTTTTTTATTTGTTAATATTTTCATTAATTATTCTCAAAATTACATTCCTGACAAGAAAACGAATCGATTGATGTATACGAAGTATATATGTAATCAAAATTTATAAAATTAATAAATATTTTTCTTTTTCCCAAAAAATTCAAATTTTGTATTTTTTTCATAATTTATTTAATATTAATAACCGATTCTATGGGATAAATTTAATTTTATACATATGTTTAGATGGAGATTGCTAAAATTTTGTGCGTGAATTACGTCACGAATTTCTACTTATATATTGAGGAAGCTAAATGGTCATGAAATAAACAACTTGTTTATTGAAGTAGACAGTGAATGAATTTAAATAGTTTTCATCTGTAATTGAATTTTTCAAGTATATTGTACACCCAATTTTCAAGCAACTGAATTTATTTTCTCTCAAACGCCGCACAACTCTCGCTTGTAAATTAAATCACCAAAATGCTATTTTATGATGCGAATCACTGATAACCACAGATGTTTATTGAAAAAAAATGTTATTCTGAGAAAAAATATATTTCAATGAATGGAAAAATAGTTTTATAATAACAATTTTGTTATTATTATAATTGTAAATTAATTTATATTTGACAAAAAATAATTAAAGATATAAATTGTTTATATATCAGATGTTTAGGGAAGTAATGTATTCTTGCTAAAATAGTAAAAGAAGAATGAAAGTACACACGCTAAATGATTTGCACAATCCAATAACTAAGCGATTACCTACGCCCATTGACATCCAGCTATCGAAAGCTATTGGATTAGTGCCACTTTCAACCATAATGGCTTACGTGAGACAAATCGATTGATTCGTTTGTAATATTATTTGATTTTAATGGAAGATAACGAGAGGTAGTGTACACATTTGTTTGGCAAATATTATCCAAAAAGAGTTAATTGCACGAGCTTTACTAACATTTATTTAGTCAATTTTTAATCACGCTCTGTTGCGTAGGGGTTTGAAATTACCATAAAAATTAAAAACGCTATTTTATATTTTCACGACATAGAAAATTGTTTTGCAGATAAAGATTTCAATGATTAATCTTCAAATTGTTGTAAGTGTCAACTAAAGGGACCAACAAGTACCTTTGAATTGTATCAAAACCATTATTCTACTACATTTGGTTCGTCAAAGTTGAACATCAAGAAAATACCAAGAAAATAATTACTTATTCTGTAATTTATCTTTATTTAACTAGAAACATAATTCCCCTATTTAGCAGAACTTAATTAAACTTAATAAATAAAAAATATTTAGTAAATATTAGTGGACAGAAGCCCTGACAATATATCGGAATGTACTGTCAAATGTGACTTTTGAATTGGATAAATCTGGACATTTGTAAAGCGTGACTGTCTCATTAACCTGGTCCGTATTCGATTTTCTGTCACAAAAGGTCTGACCACTTTAGTGGTGAAATCAAGTGAAACAATGGCAGGAATTGCGGTAAACTATCGACCATCGGCTGACCGATAAGCGGATAAACAAATTGATTAATAACGATCCCAGAAGATTGCTTACCATACAGATTGAAATACAAACCATAACGATGTTTATCCTTGATAATTACTTACAGTTTCGATATTAAACTAATCAACTTAATGATAATTAATACCACTAATAATCTACACTATTAGAAATAATTATTCTACCATTTTCAGATTATTTTAAATTAGAAAACGATACTTATTTTCTGTTCTATTTAAAGAGTATAAAGTTGTTCCTACAAAAACAATATTGCGAAGTAATCAATATAAACAAATTTAGACTAGATCAAATTTTTGAAAAAAAAAATCTATTAGTGTCGATCGTTCCTTTTTCTCGTATTGAAACTAAAAGAAATGTCAATCAGCTCTTTAACATTTTTTTCTTCTTTAAACGTTCCATTTTTCAGCCCTCGGTAGTAAACGTTTCTGAAGTACCGTTACCTGCTGAGAGAACTATTATTATCAAAAGAAGGGGGTAAAAAGAGATGAAGAGGTTTCTGAAAGAATGACGATACTTGGCAAAGAGTCACAACGATAGCGGAAAACAATACACACATAGACATGCGTATATTTTTCAGAAAACGTGGAGAAAATTTTCCTCTTAACGCCTTCGTATCATTACTCTTCTATGACACCTTTATCTCCCACACTTGTCAGCTATTAATATTTCTGAATTCTCGTCACTTTTTCAAAGAAAAGATAAATACATATTCTCTGCCAAAGAATATATCTTGTGTTAAAAATCACTTTCTAGAAAATTTTAGATCGTCAGCTATTAATATAATATTCTTATGTTGAATATTTACAGTTCTGAATTCTTTATGCAGTTCTGAAAAGACAAATTTATTTTATCATGTTCTCTCCAAAGACGGGTATAGTAAAAACTTGTTTTGCAGTTTTTAAGTTAGTATCGAAATAATTTTCGATAAATAATTAATAAATAATTTTGGAATCATAAATAATGTTGGTATTTACCTGTAGGAATTGGTAACTAACAACTAACTAACACTGCTGTTAATTTGTGCGATTAGATTTTAAAATGTTAGAAAAATGATACTAGGCGTCATGATGGTAATTTCCGATAATAGGCTACGCAGGGTTATTTGCATATTAATACCTAACGTCATTAAACATGATCTAATCGGAGAGGGTATGATACTATATTTCTGTTTTAATTTAATAACAGTTTAGATTCATATTAGGTGTATGTAACACAATGGGAAAATGGAATCGAAATTCGTTATTTATGTAATGTCTGTAACTTCTCAATTTGTGCACCCTTGTCTTTTGCTGTATGGACTAGCATTACAAGTGTCACTCTATAGAAATACTCTTAAAACCATCACTGTAAAATGCTAATCAACTTTGAATATTAAATCATCATTAGGTTCCATTTTAATCATCATTTATTTATCAGTCTTTTTGTTGCATTTGCGAAAAGAATTTGTCAGTTCTGTTTTGTCAGCGTCCCATTAGGATACTGTTCCGTCGAACTAACCTAAATGTGTTTCCGGATTTAATTTTAATTACTAACAATCAAAATTGGGACGGGGTTTGGTAAATAATTAAGAAACAATTCTATTTTGAAAAGATGGAAATGATGCACGAACTTTCTAATATCTGAGTCTAGTGGTCTCTTATTACCTTGGAATAGCGGGTGGTAGTTCTTAGCTTGCGTCGTCCAAGTACAATAGGATTTGCTCTCTAATGGTCCTTTTCACAGGGAAATGACTCCTTAAGTGGTGGCAGGTTAACAAATTATGACTTATGTTCCTCGTAAATTTTCTTTTACGTGAATTATGTATTCACAAAACTCGAACAGGATTTCCGAACACCTTTAAAAATTATATTAAAACCATTATTCTACTATATTTGATTGGTCAAAATTGGCCCAAACCATCAAAAGATATAATTACATCATTCTAAAAGAATATTCAATCCATTACTATAGTTTAAAATATTAATTGTAATCTACGACTTCAAAATTAGGTGTACTCGCATTTGCCCGAACAATTCACTATACTGGGTTTCAATAGTGGAACAAAGTAGACGGGAAAATCTCTTTTGAGTACACCCGGTTTTATCGACAGCCAAGTTCTAATGGTGTGTATTGAACAATAATCGACAGTGCACATCATTATCCCTTAACGTCAGACCTCCCGCTTGATATATCTCGAAAGTAGCGAAAACACCAGGCTATAGTGACAGTCGAGGCGGGGTCACCCATCTGAGTACTAACCGCACTCAATTGAGTTGAACCCTCATGATCGTAAGTCACTGAGTTTCACTACCGAGCTATAACCATCGGTTATTATTATTTTACATTAAACTATACATTATATTGTAATCTCGTTAAACATAATAATGCGGGGAAAATAAGAAAAAATGCCAATATTTAAATATGGTTTACATAAAATTATTATAATGAGGCGCGATAACGATTATGCGTCAATTACACCGAACCTAGTATCACGTACAGAAGAGCGTGGATTTTAAATAAAATTAAAATTTATTTAAAATAGATTTTAGACAGTTAGCTTGATTAATGAAGTTGGTGAGGTCTGACTTATTTTTATTGTATTAGGTTAGGGAACTTTGTCACAGTTTTTATCTAGTAAGCGCACAAAAAGATCAAACCTTTATTCCTGTCATAACATTTAAAAAAATTAAATTTGAACTAAATTTATTTTCAAACTGTTAAAAAAAATTCATTCGAGTATTAAATTGGAAGGATATATTCTAATATTCTAGGCCTGGAAATTGGGTATGCACGGAGGAGATTACGCTTGGATCTTGCCAGGAGACACGATAGACCTATCAGGAATGACAGGCGATTGGTGGCACATTAGGCCAGACAACTGTTCTCCATCTCAACTATTACAAACCTTGGATGGTCTCATTATTGTAAAGAGCCACGGAGCGATATTGAGTGACGATATTAGCCATTCAGGACTGGTAATTACTTAAGATTTTCTTTTAAAATTAAAACATATTTCAATCAATGTAACTGCTTGATTATAAATTGAAATTTGAATTTTACAAATTACAAGTAAATGTCAATATGAAAATTAGTTGTCACTGGAAATTATTGTATAATTATTTCCATCTAGTTTCTAAATAAGTAATAATGTAAAACGTATCTCAATTTTCATCTAATACAACAATGAACAGTAATTGGGGTATTGCAGTGCAATAATTAACCTACGCTTATTAGTTACAGTAAATGAAACCAATTTGCTTTGTTTATGTATATATGTTTTAATTTATCTCAGCTACTATTAATATGAATGTTTAATACAAATTACACTGAAAACTCGAAAAATCATAGTGGGAAATATTTCATTTTTTTAGCACTATAAACCAAACTTTATTTTATAAACTCGAAACAGTTCAGATAACAAAAAACTTTTCCTCTATCCCAGAAAAATAACTCGATTCTCTATTCTTCCTTTATCTAATTTGCATATTTACTCGTTTTCAGTACAAAGTTTGTAAAATTATTATTAGATATAAATATACCAGATAATTTTGAACGAAATAATAATACGAATCCTTACTGGATATTCTTCTATTCATTAATTTCTAAGTCTTTTAAAATAATTCTAAGTGTCGATATAAAACAAAATCTTGAAATGTGTACCATTTTAGCCCAGTTTTTCTCGAGATTGTTTCAAATTTCGACAATTTCTCTGTATCATCATTGAGAGTACAAAGAGAATCCCTCTCTGAGAGAAATTAGAGCAGTAACGTCGGCCAAGCATATATAGACTGACAGTGGTGCATTGTTGGTAATGTCGGTATTGCTATAAGGGATATGAAACCATCGCCACTTCGCGCGATTAAAGCTTGAAAGAAGCGACGAAAAATGCCGAGGGCCATTTTCAGTTGAAATGCTGCCCAATTAGGCTAATGAGGAACATACCTGTCTGTAAAACGAATTCCAAAATCTCACAATATAGTGAATCACTAAAATTTAAAGCTCTCGTTGACTTTTTTTTTTTTGATCAGAATATTGCAATTTGCTTTTAGACATAGCACTCCAATTCGTAATTCAACTTGACAGCCGATTTCCTGAAGACAAATTTATTGACCATTGATACAAATAAGATATCGCTTTTGCACTGCTCGTTTCATTTCATTGAAACTATTTTACTGCTAACCATAAATAAGCTTTGAAATCAATGATTATTCTCTGTTTGCTTTCTAATTTTTCTTTTTTTAAGTTTGTAATTTTTTAGCGCCAGGTTCTTTTTAAATAAATTTTTGATAACCAGAAATTATTTGTTTAATGAATAAAATTTCTTGCTTTGTACAGACGAGTTCAGAGTTTACAGCTGAATTGGCAAAGCGAGGTGTCACAGTGTCACAATACGCTGCCCAGACGTACGATGCTGTTTGGGCTGTGGCTGTTGCTATGAATAAATCCGAGGCTTTCCTGAACAAGAAAAATGTCAGCTTTGCTCAGTATTCGCATAAACGACAAGACCTCGCATATTATCTTCTTGGACAGATGAAGGACTTACATTTCAATGGAGTTTCGGTAACTACACAAATATTAGAGTAACAATTAATATCCTTCAATATTTTTCAATAAATGCATACGATACAAATTTGACTAAATTTCTGAAAGCAAATAAAAAACTAGTTATAGCTCTAGGTGTGAATTTGAGAACGAATCCCTTTAGTGAGCAATAAAATGTCCATCAAGTTGTGAAAGACAAAAGAGCTTACTTGAAGGAAAATATAGGATTAATAGCAGACTTATTTTAAACATTAAACTGTGTAGTGTGCATTCATCTAGAAATAACGAGTTCCGTCAAGAGCTTAAGAAAGTTCAAAGTAGTCTTCTTCGGTATTAACTTTGGGAGTAATTAATGAAAGAAAACGTAAAATGAGAGTTTGCAGACTTATTGAAGGAGAAATTATGATCTCATTCGAACGATTATTTAAGAGCATTTAAATATCGTTAAGTATCATAGTAAATAATTCTTAAGTGACAAAATTCTTTAGAATGATTGCAAATAATTGCATACGTTAAATATACTTATTCATTTTTACATTTACCAGTGGATGGAAATATTAATTTGAAATTAATTACAAATTTCAGGGTCCAGTATCGTTCGATGGCGCGGACCGTGTGGGAATAACAGCTTTCTACCAAATGCAGGGTAAGTCCTTAAATTTGTTACGTCTAAATTGGTGGTGGTTTCGAACCTCTAGTAATTATCTCCATTAGAATTAATTCCAAGAACGAAATGAATGAGAATGCCATTCAGGAAACTGATTCAATTTTCAGTATAAAACAAAGTACACAATGCAGTATTATTATTTTAAAAATCCATATTTCAAAGGCATAACTAAAGAAGACATCAAGTACCTTTAAAAATTGTATCAAGACCATTATTCTACTATATTTGCTTGGTTCAAGCTGGCAAAACCATTTCCATTAAATTGGGTTGCAATTTGTAATAACGATCAACGTTCAATCACTAAACAACCTAACTAAGTTGAGAAGCATCCACGGATTTTAAAAATTATTTTTTGTCAAGAGAATCATATTTCTAATCTAATTTCGAAATCTGTTCTTGTCCACTAATCCAAAATCTCTTTCACCGATAGGCCACTAATCGATCCAGGGTCAACAAATACTTGACCCCAGTTATGTTCTCTAACTGCTGGTTCTGCTCGGGAGGGACATAAAATATGAATAATTTAGAGATCTGTTCTTTTCCGGAAGTCCAAAATCTCTTCCATCGATAGGCTGCTAATCCAGACCCAAGTTATGTAGTCTAACTGCTATTAGCGCTGGTCAGTGACATAAAATACAAATTAATGATTAATGATCTAATCGGGTTTTCGGTTTCTCACGAATTATTTTTAAATAGAAATCCGTTTGTGTCGAATATATTTTCAAATTAAATACTTTTTAAAGTATAGATTTCAATCCCCTTCTCATAGTAATATTTTTTAGCGATTAGATACAAACTAAAATTTAACAGGAACTGGATTTTTGCCATTAAATGTAGCTAAACATAAAGGATGTTGATTGTCACTCACACGTGTAACTGTATATATTGATAAAGGCATAGGAGGCATACAGTGACAATGTGGCCACGTAACGATGTTACAGTTAGTGCTAAACGGAAATACGGTCGAATGATTCCATTGAGACTTCCATTGAGAAACTCATAGTCGTTCGATAATGAGCTTAAACAGAGCAGAATCAGATATCCTGAACGCAGCTGGCAGTTGAGATTAGTAGCTAGTCAATATCAGAAAGACGCCATTTTCTATTGTGAATCAAGCTTTCAATGTCGAAGTTCAAATTGCAAACTCAATTCAAAACAAAAGGGTTTATTAAGTTCACGAACACTTAATGCAATCAAAGAGTTTTATTTCTCATCGAAAATTTTCACAAAAGAGTTAAACTTCAAAATCGAATTTCCATTGTTATCATTTTCTTAAGTTTTTTTAAAGGGATGATATTAGAGCTAAATAGTAAATATGTAGAGAAAGCAAGGAATCTAATAAAATCTTCATATAAGAGGGAATGGGAAAAGCTGGCAACAGCTGCGGCGGGAAAATCTTCTTATAAACGTATAATGATACAATTACATATTGATAGAAAAAAAAGTATCAAAATTCTTTTTAATAAAGTATGATATACTTCCATATTTTCGAAATCTAACAAAATATTAAAAATATTACCACGCAGTCTCATAAACAAATCATTAATAAAACAACTTTGTAGAAATATAAATTCAAAAAAGTGTTAGACACTATATTTGAAAATGAATTTAAAACTAAAATAAAGATCAGAGTGTTATGTAATTAAAAATAGTTTGTTAAAATTGTTTCATAAAGTTGATGGGAGTTTTAAACATTCTCTAGTAACTTAACAAAGTTTAGAGTATATCTAATAGGTTTCCTGAGGTAAACGATATACGTACTATCTTAGTAGATAGACTTATGGTTTCAAAGTACAGAGACGATGAAGTTTATCGCAAACTTCATTTGTATGTGAATGGACAGATCTAACTTTATTTTCAACACATTCATCAACCATTCACAAAGTCATTCAATTTCACACTGCCATTCAATTTAATTAAACAAATCCTTGATAAAATCAAGTGGACCATTTTATTCGTGAATGAATAAAATTTTACAAAATGTACAGACTCATTAATTGACTTTAGATTTAGGGGTAAATTAAGAGAATGTAACATTTAGATCTTCAAATTCAGTAACTGATGATATTGCTTGAAAGCTGATGGTCTGTGGTCAATGTGGTTGAGCAATCTTAATCAGAGTTAGGAGTTTGATGTGTTGTAGTTAGGAAAGGTTTTCCACAGTTTCCGTATTCTCGAGTAATGAAGTCCTATAAGGGTGTGACAATTTCAACATGAGATTTAAATTATACGCTGAGAGAGACCGTTTTGATTGCAGAAATCTTTCGATGTGGGGCTTACTGTTCTGATGAAAAGTTTAGGAAATGTTCATTGGGATTACTAGGTTTCAATTTTTGGATGAGAATAACTTTTCCTTCAAACGGGATAGTCATCAATCTGTAATGTTTATGGCTTCTAAAGTTAAATTCAAAAATTTTGCATCACTTTTAAATTAATAGTTACTTTAATTCTTATTTTTTAGGAGTACAGCAGTGATGGTCCTGCAATTAGGAGATGTAATGTTTAACCTTACACGGATTGTAAGGGACGACTAAAGTGGACAAGTACCTTTAAATTGTATTAAAACCATTATTCTACTATATCTGCTTTGCTCAAGTTGGCAACACCATTAAAATAATGAGAACAATTCATAAAATTTGATTACAAATATGTTAACGTCTGCCAATGGTCTAATATCTAATTATTCGATTGTGCAAATTACAAATGCATTTTCTAATTAAAATTGAGAATTAGATTGTTTCATTTCGGATCTTCCATCTGGAATAAAAGATGGTTGTTGACAGTAAGGGGTATTGTATTGTAAGGGGCAACTAAAGGGAAGAAAGTACCTTAAATTATATTAAAACCATTATTCTACTATATTTACTTTGCCCAAGTTGGCAACATCATTAAAATAATTAAAACAATTCATAAAATTTGTTTACAAATATGTCAACGTCTAACAATGGTCTAATATCTAATTATTCGATTGTGTAAATTACAAATGCATTTTTTTCTAAATGAAATTGAGAATTAAATTGTTTCATCTCGGATCTCCCATCTACAATAAAGAATGATTGATGACTGTCACAAACATCAGTACATTATTTCGATATTTTCAGAAACTACTTTACCTAATTTCTAAGATCATACAACAGAACTTAGAAAATTAATTTAAAAAGATTCAGAACAGGAAGTAGATATTAGTCATAAAATTCAAATCACTGAATGGGGATAAAAAGAAGAAAAGCATTCTCTCAAGAAGAGTCAGGATCTTATTTCTGAATAGATGGTATGTTTTTCTTTTTCCTGCATAAAATAAAGATTGTCTCACTGTGTCTAGTGAAGTGGAGTTAGTTGATATCTGTCTGTATGTGGCAACTTGTTCTACTGTCGCGCGACTCAAGCAGATTCTGTAGTAGATCAGAGAAAGGGAGAGGAGAGGAAAAAGGATGAGCGCAACAGTCGATCCAATTTGTTGAAATATCAGAGGCTTTTCACAGACCTACTACTACTCCCCATCCTTGTTTATAGAGCTTGTGTCAAATCGATGCTATCGATATTGTATCTTATTTACATCACTTTCTCGCCTATCCAAATGTATATAAATAAAAATAAAAACAGTTTTATATATCTACATTTTTCTTTAAACTTTCTTTTCACTTCATCTCGATTTGGTGACACAAAAGTCCTATTATTATTTCTTACTGAAATGAAAAAAAAATCAAAAGTGATTTTAATTTTCTCTTTTGATGATTATTCGTAAATTTTTTGTTGCTTTTAATTTTGATTGTATCCTTTAATCCTATTACCGAAAAATTTTATTAAATTACGAATATTTAACATTCGGGAAAAATTTTATATCCTGATTAATTGGGAACAATTTCAGTTACAATTTTATAATTTACTTTTCTAGATTACAATTTCTCGTTTCAAAGATATCCCTTACTGCTTTTAATTGAACAAAAAAAACTTGCAATAATTTATAATTGGAGAAAATACGGATACAGGTGAAAAGGATAGAATGTTCGTCCATTAATTAAATAGTAAAAATACCGTCGGAGAATTATCTTGTAACGAATGAGGTACAAATGCTGTTTAATTGCAGACTTGTTTTAGTTGTACATATCTATCTTTTAATTGAAAAAAATTCGAAATGACACTACATAATTTGACATCATGTTATTGATGAACTATTTTTTACTTTTGACAGTTTGTGATTACATAACTTGTTTTTTTTACTCATGTTTAATTAGAAAAAATATTTTATTCAAAATATTAAATCTATTGGCCTAAATTATATTTCAATGAACTTGTCATAATTTGAAGTGTTGCTGACATTACGAAATTCTACATCATCATTTTGTGCGATGGTTTCATTTCAAACTATTGTTATCGTATTTTGAAATAAATGGAACCGAATATTAGATTTCAGTAATTATGGATAGCGATGTAAGTTAGAATTATTATCGATTGATTAATAATTTATAAGTTGAGGAATGTGCTGTAAGAATTTTCGCTAATGATCGTTCGACCCAGAATTATAAAGTGAAGTTTTGACAGTTTAAGGGCACGAACACCGGAAAGTGTTGCGAAAATCTTATTTCACACCACTTCCGTCTTGGAATTGAGCGCTTGAACTCTAATTTAAAACTTTAAGGGGAATACAGAGTACAATAGAGGCAAAAAGTTACTCCAATTTTTTTCCTGGTTAGTTTCACACTGAATTTCACATTGAATTTAAAATCGGAGAAATAATTTTGGGAAATTTATGAAAATCAGAACATGTGATTTAATCGCCATCATTCTAGACGTTTTGGAGGAAATTTCCTTTACTGCTACAGTAGTGCAGGTCGGTGAAGAAATTTTCTTTTCAACGTAAGTGGAAGAAGCAATTTCTTGCTGATTCATTTTTTTTTCTTCAAGCTTGTAAATTATGTTAAGCATATCAATTTCTCTTACAGTTACAATATGAGACTCCTGACCTTTAGAAAATTTAA